TACCTAGGGGATTGGAACTGTACCAGTACCGCTGCAGCGAACTGCAGCAATGGATGAATCACCTTATAGCGTCTAGACAATACAGATTCTGAGAGCCCAATTACTGTACTTGGGTCTTGTATTCCAGTTACCGGTGTCTATGAACAGTTTTAAGTTTGCACAGTATCAGCTCGCAGGCCACCTTATGGTAAATGCAGTAGGATTAAGTCTGATGATTTAAAAAGGAGGCAGATGTGGGAATTCGGTCAGTTCCTTGAGTACTCGACTGGCGCACCTATGGTCGGGGTCTACGGAAGAATGATCAGGAAATGGAGCGAGGGTACGAAAGGACACTCAAGGATGAAAGATGTTATCGGTTCCATGTTTTCCACAGAAAACCTGTAATGTACACAGCGAATAAGGCGACCCTGTTGGTGTCACCATGCGACGGTCATTGCGGCACGGAGAAACTCTTGTCTATTTGACTCACCGCCGCATGTGGACTGGGACACAGCTAAGGGCAAAACGTCTGATCATAAGGTAGCGGTGGATAGTGCGAGACTACTAAAGTAGATCAACTTAAGAGGAACAGGTCATCATGTGTGTTCTGACTCCCGGCCTGGAGAATGAGGTTGTTTTTCGGACCTCACTCACTGACAACCTAAAAGGAGAAACTCGTGGGTGCTGCACGGGCATTCTGCAGTATAACACAATGGGTTAATGAGGCGCGCAAGCCGTCCCACCACGGTATAGCCAAGTCTCTTCGTGACGGTTATATTAAACAGGGATTTCGGCCTGTCGGCTGCAATCCATGTGTCGAAGTTGAATCCAGACACTACGGTTTCGTTAAATGAATATAGTGACAGCCACGGAGGAACGCCCTGAAGACAGTAGTCCACTCATCGAATAAGTTTGTTCATCTAGTGAGGTAGGGTTGGGAAGACTATACACTGCGGGATGTGGTTTTAATGTAAGAGCGCCAGTGGCTACGTGGCTGGGTCATGCCCATTAATGTCGTTAGCTACTTGGGTTTTGTTCTATAAACGAGTTTTTTAATAGTTCGCTTGAGAGTCAATGGTCACAGAGGCGTGACGGTGTTAATTATGGTGAAAACTACCGTGAATGGATCACAGAGCTCAGATGATAGCACCCACAGGGCGTGGATCCTCGTCCGGCAACCCTACATAGACTCCACGGCGACACCATAAAGTAGAGAGCACCATCCCACCATCAGAAGTGTAATTTGGCCAGTATCTCTCCCTACTAAATAGACGTATGGACCGTATGACAGCCCTGCAACCCTGTTGATCATACCTGGAAGTGCAGCGGGGGAAAAATCGGATGGGAACCAACGCGGGCAGAGTTGACCCAACGGCATTTCTTTCTGCACCCTCGCTGTTGGTTTGTGGTTTCAATTTGGTTGTGTAAGCTCGAAGGGGGGTATCCTAAAAAAATTCATGCAGTGCCAAGAACGCTGCAAGTTTAGAAGTTTCAACGGCATTACATGATTACACCCCACTTATGGTGCTGATTGTGCCTCGTGGGGGAAGGTAATTTGGGATTTCCTAGGAGAAATTCGGTGTAAAGTGAACTGAATAACGACCACCTTTGGGCCGTCTCAATGCTGCACATCATCATCAATGACAGCAAAATCAGTGTTGGCACTGATGCTTCACTGCCGTACAACCATAAAGTGTGCTGGCAAACGTAAGGCATAGATGATGAGCGCATCTAAGAGGGCGAGTTTCTCCGCACCTCAGCTTTACTTACGTGAAGTCTCCACCAGGTCCTAGCAACGCCAATGCTTTGGAGCGCTTCTTTCAGTACCCTACAGGTGATAATGTTCCTGGCTGGTACATTAGAATCGGGTGCAACGTATACGTATACATATGGTGCAAACACGATGTGTGATAGAGTAAAAAAGCGTTCGTCTGAGGCTAAGCCGGTGCACAACCTCCATGAAGTTCGAAAGAAGAACGGGGGCTGAGATGCTGCCAAGTTGCAGAGCCAATAAGGAAGTCAGAAATGACTTAGAATCATGAACAATCCAACCGATCGTTTCGGGCACTAACCACTGCCCGTTTCGAGCTAACAAACCACCACTTCTTCCCAAAAGAGAAGTTCTTGGATAAAACCCGATCCTTCTATTCATGTAAATTCAAACATATGGTGTGTAGGGGGATCTCCACAAGCTTCTCCACGAAGGTAGTGCCCGAAAAGGTAGTCTGCTCTCTATTTGTGATCGACCTGATGAAATGACAAGAGAAAAAATTGTTCGGTTGCCATTCTACCCTAAGAAAGTACGGAGGCTGATATACTGTCAAGTTGCCCAAGCCTATACACGAACAGTCGAGGTGAAGAGGCTGGGTTCGAACCACAACCTTCTGGACAGTCAGTTCACGGCATTAACCACTGAGCTACTCCGAAATAATAAAAGAGCTGCTAGAGGGCCTTCAAGATTCCGGTGTTCAAGTTGTTGCTGGTGGAGACCACGCTGATTTAGGGTAGGCAGACGATATCGTTCCAATATTTGAAATTGGGCGAAATAACAATAGATATCGGATAGATTAACGGTGGTCACATTGTCTTTCGATTCTGTACATACGGAACGTGAACCCATGCTTCAGAATGCGCAAAATTTGATAGTTCCACTGGGAAGTTGAGAAGTTAACACTTAAATAGCTGTCATTATCATCAGCTGCAAAAAGTGTGTACTTGCCACACAGTGGTTGCAGCTGCCACAATTTTGTCCGCGGATGATCTGGGAAGGGATAGAGTACAATGCATGTGTTGGTTGATTTAACTGATACGTGAAGTCAGAGTGTCAATGAAATCTCCATTGAGGAGATAGAGAAGGGAAGCTGTGCATTGAAGGGAACAGCTTGGGTACACATGCTCCACGGAGTGCAAGACTGAACCACGTCTGTCAGTGCCTCTGGCCATTTGTTACCCTTCTCTAGGTCCCCTTCACGGAGACGGCAATGACCAGTACAACTAAGTTTGGTAGTAATGGTTTTCAGACTTCACTACCAAGTCGGCGCTTGGCCTACCCTAACTCGCTTCCATTTACCGCTGGGTTTCACAAAAAAGGCTCTTTGAAGAAGTCGATTGACTGGCACACTTAGATGGTAATAATAATCGTTCAGCTGTAGCACATTTTAGGTGCCTAGCTGCCATGCCACCCGAAGGAAGCACGAGGGCTGGGGTACTGCCAAGTTGTCCGAGCCTAGTCAGGGGAAGTCGATAGACAGAGGTCGGGTTCGAACCAGAACCTTCCGACCAGTAAATTCGGGTTCTAACCACTGAGCCATTTCGCACATAAAGTACGCGACAAAGCCAGAGAAACCTAGGAAGTGTGATCAGTTAATTTATCGTAAACAAGTTAGTTTTTCAAAAAGAACCATATCTTAGTAGTTGTAGTAACGGCAACAGATGTGGACTGGTTGGGTCAGTTTCTCCGGTTTACATAACTTCTGAAAACAGCCACATCAGTAGGCCTCGAGGATCGCACGTTGCAAGCAAAAATGTAACATGTTACTTGCGTGGTTACGGAACCTAGCGTCAAGGGTGGGAGGGATTGATCTGAGGCGTCTTCAGGTCTTCGACTACCGAGACTTCCATAGCATCAACGGATTCATAACGAGGTAATAAGAAACCGAGTGTTTGTTTATGCAAAAAGTTCTCTAGTAGCAAAAGGCACCCAGAACCATAAACTGCAGTGGTACCCACCGGTCATTTGGTAGTCCATTCAATCAACCTGCTGGATTTCATTGACCACAATGATTCTCGACAAACTAACTTGTCTGAGCGTTTTATTTGAAACCTCTTGCATTTTTTAGAACGAGTGATTTCAACCCGGACACAAAGTAGCAGGGGAACATCGTTTGGTGACCCTTACACTATTTCACAATCGAGATGGGATCGCACTTTTATTGCGCTATCTGCATACTTGACAGATAAAATGCTGCCGTACATGTGGCCCGGGGATCAGAAGTTGACAATAGCTTGCTCGCCTTGACGGATGAAGTGGCTTCATTCTTTGATGGTTCACGGGAACCCACAAGACGCTCCCAAGCTACCGATGTTGTGGCTGATCCCGAGATTAAAAAATTGTCCGACTTGATGCTGTCACCCATTTCGGTTGGATTAGCTGCAGGCCTGAAGCTATGGTTCAATTCAATCCCGTAGCATCACCTTATACTCCGAAGGAGCATGGCAAAACTCAAACTGTACATCCGGGTTCGCAACTGAAGACCTTAATTTCTGAACAGACTTTTACCAGCTTTTCGTGTTCGGAGTTGCCTGAGGTATCCGTCGTTGTCATTCGTACACTACGCACACAATACAAGGCAGGGAATTTAAGTTTTAGCAGTACCACGAGCACTTTCCAATACAGGGCCTAGTTGGAGGCCCATTATTACGATACATGGATCCCCATATATTGATACGATCAACGGAGAGCTTCTAGGGTTCAGCTTTTTGGGAAGAGATGACAGTCTGGATTAGCTGTTTCGTTCACCGAGTTAGTTGTCTGGCCGCATCCGAAACTGGTCCGGATTGTACAATCACGTAATATCCGAATCGGTCCCACCTATACGTCTTTTCCTTTAGGTTTCTTGTTATTCATTATGCTATCTACGACTGCACTGTTTTCTCGGTGTTTTTCTCGGATGTTTTCTCGGTGCATTGTCCACCGCAAAAAAGCGACAGCTGACCACTAATACTGACACATTATGACCGAGTGCTACTTTTTAAATAGAACCTAAACTAGCGTAGAGAGAGGTCTTTCGGAATCTGGAGGTGGGCTCACACCTTCGACTGCGTTCCCCATTAGCCTATGTTGTACAGACCCTGAGCCTAAGAAATAAACAAAATCCTGAATGGGTGGACTGCATCTTTCCTAGGTCAGCGGCGCTAGACAAGGCGTATCTCGGTGATTAGTTTTAGGAGCGCATCTGTTTATGTATGCCAGCGACCTTCGTTTCTCTCTGCCGGATGCTTGTTGTTGGATAATGACTTACGGATTTGGGATGCTCTGTAGGCGCCCGCAGACGGAAAGGCCCTGTCCAGAGGACTGGGACTTGCTGATCACTGATCTGAAGTGCGCTTCTGTATTCGGTGGTTAGTCCGAAGATGGTTTCTATATTCACAAGCGCTTAGTCCGAAAAAAGAGTTGGAAAATAGGGGGATTCAATCTACGGGGCTTTTGTACGCGATTCACCACGAAGTGGGAACCCCTCGGAATTCCGCACTGAATCAGTAGACCGTCCACGATGATCACAAAGTTTCCGGTTTAAACATCAGACAAATCTGGCCACCACTGGATTACGCTAGCTAACTCTTCAATTTGGGTTGTGTTTAAACCATCGGAGAGTCCAAAGACAACGAAGATGATGGCTGGTTTGCGCATTGTCCATTAGAATCAACTTTCAGAAATAAACTGTCACACTGGAGACACTTTACTTATATTCACAATATCCATAAAATGTTGACGTCTAGCAAGGACATGGTCCCCCAAGAAAGCGATCAACGGATCCATGAAGGCCCTATAAAGAAGGGCTAAAACTAGTGGCCCGCATCCAGAAATGTTAGAGATGGATCTCATTCCCGTGTATTTATCACTTACTCAGGTAATTTACAGCTATATGCTAAAATGTGACAGACCGAATTCTCTCCGGATGAGCACTACCGAGAAGTTATCGCAAGAATCCCGCCACACAGTAAGATAAAAAAGGGTAGTCGCATTAGCACAGGAAAAATGCATGTATAGTAGAGGCTAACCTCATGCTCACGCCGCCAGGAGATATGTGCACGAAGCATTTTTTCCGCTTCGGCCTCGTTCCAGTTTCGTGAACGCAGCCACCGTATGAGATTTGGCCTCGAAGAGCTCTGATCATGATTTAAATCTTGCAATTTAACATATAGCCGATCAACCATCTCCTTTTTTTCTGAAGATAATGTGCAGTCAGTGGGCGCATCAACCATTGCGCGGCTTCCTGTGGGCCATTCGTAAACGCGCGTTCACTTGACCAGCTTGAATAACCGCGGTTCAGTTCATTTCAGGGTTAGAATTCGGATCAGGTGTGGGACGTCGCAGCATTTGCCGGAGCTTCTCATGAAAATCTGTCTGAGATTTGGTGACTGACCTAAAGTGTTATGGGATGATTAAAAAAGGAGCAAATATGAGTGCCAGTGATCGATTCTAGCAAATTCCCATATATTTCCACGGGCTTATTGGTTTTTGAATCACGGATTCACGGATTCACGGATTGATACACTGGATCGAGGCTTTTACCCAAGTTTCCCGGATCGGTTTTGTTCTTGCCCGTCGGGGAATATACGGTAACCCACTGATGCCATGTAGATTGGGATGTCAGGAAGTCAGCGGTACTCGACGTTCACACGAATACAGTGATGGTACACGCAGGTACGTGCATGCGAGCCTAAGGGCACTGCCAAACGCTTCGACGTGGTTCGCACAGTCATGTGTTTCCCGGATTGTGGCATACATGCGCAGCTTGTTCTCAGCACAGGTTGTTGAAAAAGCTAACCCCCAGATAGAGTCACAGTCAACGTTTATATCAGGAGCCCGGTGATGGCGACGGGATCGAAATGCAAAAGAAGCCTGGGAGCGCAAATTTGCTGTCAGATTTCTTCCGTACGAGCTTAGATAAAAATTCAAACCTTCGTTTACATTCCGTTGGTTCAGTAGACCTTGAAGTATGAGCTTGTGAATTACATTAAATGCATTTTACGGGTAAACTGAGAAGCCTATTTAAGCTTGTTTTGTCTTTGAATTATGTCCTTTTGACTAAGTAAGCCGCTAAAAGGTTGATTTACGGGCCAGTTTTATATCAGGATAATCCACGATACGAAATTCTATCATGGTCGGCGGTCAAGTTAAAAATCAGTTATTGTTAAGCTTCGTTAGACACCGCGCGGCGAGCCCGCACTGAATCAAAACAAACCGGAAAAGAAAACACACGCCATTGGAAGATTTTTGGAATAGTGAGCTGACAGTATCGAGTGATAACTGTATGGTTGAACCGGGTTTTACGTGATGAACACAGCAGGTTACTTTGGTAACACATAGTGTGCTCGCTGCTATCACTGCCTCTTGGTTATCTTGATGGTTACCTTGAGGGTTGTCGACAACATCACGCTCATACTTACCATTGGGTAAACACCATATGCAAGACGGTGATAAATGTGGATGCCCGGTTGAGGTTACTGGTATCGTGTGGCAAAGGCAAATTCAAAGACTCACACTAGACAGTCTCTGGGATAGCTGATTGAACAGTAAATGGTGAAACCAGCAGAACTTATTAATAATAATAATATTAATAATAATAGTAA